GGCCAGACCCGTGTCTACATCTACTGGGGAACAGTAAAGTAAACTACATATAAGCCGAGAATACTGGCTGGTTACAAATACAATGTCATTGCTTTTTACTTGTTAACCTTAAAGATGGAGAGAAAAGTTTGCCTTAAAACAATGAAACTAAAATAATGCAGAGAATCCAGCTATATCCTTTTGTTTTAGTCTCCTTAACATGACAGACTGGAGTGACTCATGATATCTGTCTCAACAATGACAACAGTGGAGAGTCTAACACCTGTTTTTTTTCCTTATGCAGTTTGCCTTCTCTGTCTTTAATTCACTGTCTCATTTTTTTTATCCTCTTCTTTTTGGGGGAGTGAACACACGAGCCTGTGGGCCTCGTTGAGTGGGTGCACGGAGTGGGATGGTGGCAGGACTCTGGAGCAGGTAGTAAACGGGGAAAAAGGCCGTGTGGTGAGACAGAATAGAAAGTGCAGGATGTGGAGAACAACAGTAGAGGGTAGGAGTTCACAATCCATGCTGATAGTGATGCTGTATTATTTATATCTACAGCTTTAAAAAAAATTGTAGTAGCAGACATTTGGAAAAAGAAAAAAGATGCAGTATGCCTGGAATGCAACACCCGAGCCGAAAACACACAAAATAAATACAATATTAAATGAAGGTCACATACTGCAAAGGGCGCTGGAACAATTGCTCAGCTGAGCCTTGCTCTATCACAGTTGTCTGCTAAGCTGAGATGGCTAATGGAATAAGTGAGAATCGCCGTATGCTTAAACCTCTGTTGCTGAAAAACTATTCAGGCAAAGTTAACAACCAATCAGCTCTGTAGTGCCGCAAATTTTTTTTCTCTCCCTGCGGCTAAGTCATTCAGATAATAAGGTTTCTCTCAATAACAGAGCAGACTTAGATGAAGTCAATTTACAATTTGAACACACAACATTAAAGGCCAAATTCATTAATGGGGATTATCGCATCACATTCTGTAGATGTTAATGAGGGAGGGAGGTGGAGAAAGCGAACGCTGTCTTTTTGTTTGCCGACTGAGCATCTAACTACAACAACATCAAATAAAACATGGAGGACTGTTCAGCTCATATTACTATGGAAATTAGCTAGATAGTGTCCTCAACTCACACCTGGCTGTCCTCATCCGTACATTACAATACTGTTGGCTGAATCACCAATTAATAAGGAAATAAGAAACTATTACTGTCTTTTATGATAATATCTATTGTTGAACTGTAAAATATTCTGCAGAATATAGATTTTTACTTTGGAGAGATCCTTGTTTACATTAGGCGTTCATGATAAAACCACGTCAGTATCAGAATAATATCAAATTTTGATATCAGCCTCGAAAATCCAGTAACAGCTGGGCTGACAAAAGCACATCTGGAAGTACTAACACCTGTACTGTAACAGAATTATTAGTTAGTAGTTTGTGACCAAGCATAAAAGTAAATTTTTTGTCCAGTCATTTTTCCCTGTCACAATCATGAAATGTTAATTAAGCCCCATATTTGCATAGAATGCTTAAGCTGCACTATAATTATCTGGCAAAATTAATGTCTTCATTATACGTTAATTACCTCCTCAACTTTAAAATGTTTGCCAGAACCATAAAAGGTACAAGGAAGTGGATGAAAAAAGGAAAATGAATGCATCTGCACCACTTGATATGTTGTGACAGCAACAGAGGAGCCAAAAAACCTACTGGGGCATTGTGTGTTTGACTAATCGCACATCGACTGTAGAGCCCAATATCTTCCGTCTGAGTGTCACTACATCAGGCATCCAGCTGGGATTGCTGTCAAATGTCTCCGTTCATCAATATCATGTGAAAAATGTAGGCTTTTACCTCTGTGATGAATAATGAATCAAGGTTGACGTATTAGTGTTATCACAAATCACAAATACATGGAGGGGTGTTTGGCGGCTGCAGTAGCTGCAGTAGCTGCAGTAGCTGCCGTTAAATCTTTTCTCAGCTCATGGAAATATTCAGAACTGTCGGCCCTTTTCGAATCCCGCTCTGATGGTAGCAAGGTCATCATGTCTTTCAATTTTGTGAAAGATGCAATTCATTCATCAGTTTGAAAGGGAATAAATGGTCCTAATTGTGTCCAAAATGCGCTCAATGTAATCACAGCACTGTACAGAGGCAGATGCACAGCACCCCAAAGTGCACAGTGAATTGAATTAAGTATATAAAGACAGACAGATAAGGCGGCCTGGGACTCCACCTCACCCTGTCCCTTTTAGGTGTCTTGACCGTGGCGTTGTTTGGGTCCTGGTTACGCAGCTGAACTGACACAAATAGCTGCTGTGGTCCTGTATTGCTACATGGGTCTAATACTAATTGCCAACACTGCAACTGATATTATTAGGAATTTATCTTAAATTAAAGCCAAACATGATGCAAGTATATGGAATTGTGTTACTGTAAGATGTATGTCACACTACTGCAGAGGTGACACCTGGCTCTCACAGAGTGATGATGAAATATTCTGCTACTCCTGTTATGGACGGTGAATGATAACCATTTGTTGTGCTGAGGTTTGGTCAAACTCATCAAAAGGTCACCTAAGTTGCCATAGAGATATTCATTTATTAAAGGAGTAGTCCGACATTTTAGGAAATACATTTATCTGCGTTCTTGCTGAGAGCTAGATGATGAGATCAACGCCTCTCTCGTATAAATATGAAGCTCCAGCCTGCAGGCGGTTAGCTTAGTTTAGCACAAAGACGTGTGCAGTCACTTTCACTTCAGGAAGTCACTGCGCCCTGCCTCTGTGGTCTGGCACAAAGCCCCCCATAAAAGCACTATGTGTTGATTTTACACTGTGTATGATTTAACAAACAAGATATAGACCTAACAGTGAGCTTTGGAGGTGTCGACAGGCAGATTTTATTACAGGATGTGGAAAGATGAGATGTGGTTCGCACAGGTATATTAAAGGCTTTTAATAAGATGCAGCAACTAACATTTTAATATAAAGCATGCAGATGTTAATACCTTAGAACAGAGCCAGACTGAGCTGTTTCCCCCCTTTCCAGTCTTTGTGCTCAGCTAAGCTAACCAGCTGCCGGAGATATCTTTACCTTTTGCATACAGACATGAGTGTGATCTCAGTCTCCTCATCTCATTGTTGGCAATAAAGAAAATGAGCATATATCCCAAAATGTTCCCTCAGATTTTGCTCCACTCAGCCCAAGCTGTACACTCGAACAGGCGAGAGAGATTGTGGGTTTTATTAATTACACCTTGAATGTGTGAAAAAGTCCAACATTTCCACCATTCCAGTGCAGAACAAGCAGGTTACACAATACATTTTCTTCTAATGACTCAACATCTTGTTGCACACTTAATATTACCCCCACTGATTTAGTGTTGTCACTGAACCTTCATCAGCTCAGTGTTGTGTGTCAGGGATTTTAGAAAATAGGTCACATGGCTCCCTGTAGACACGGTCTCTAACTGTGGCCTTATGACAACCTCCATTTGCTTTTTTGTTGATCTAATAATTGCTAATTGCCTGGGGCCCATTAATCTCTTCTTTGGGCGTGGGCACCACAGATGGTCCATAATGGTGTCAGTGCATTATGGCCTGTGGTGTAGTGTACTAACATATGTGAATGTGTTTACAATACGCTCACACACGGGCAATAGGAGATGACATTGCTATGTCAGCACACTGTATGTCAAAGTGTGGTGGGACCACGCCAACTGATGTGTCAGTGCTTGACCGCCTAGAGGTCAGACAGCCACTCATGGAAACTGAGGGAAATCCAGTTGAATCAGCACCAGTGTTTGGGAGCAAAGAGGGCAGCAACGCAGAATCATAAACGGAGGATGTCGCAAGGGAGGCCCTTAAAATAGCTGAGTGAGACGGAGAGGTGGAGGGTGAAGGAAGAGGGAGAAACTGAGCGGGACATTTGTAGAGGGCCCAGAGAGACTGAGTCAGGCAAAACAAACAGAGGGAGGCAGCACACAGACGGTCAGTCTCACAGAGTCAGAGGAGCGTTTATACAATACAGCGATATAAAAGCAGAGAAGAGGAAGCGACAGAAAAGTTTAAAAGCATAAAGAAAGGGAGGGAAATGACTGCAAAAATAAAATCTCAAAATCAACTGAGGAAGACAACTAAAAAGATATGCACCATTATCAAGATAACAATGCATGAATTTCATTTCTGAGCAAGAAAACTGATAAATCACTCAAGCTGACAAAAGTCAAAATCTGGTAGAAAGAAAGCAGCTGCCTGAAGCTCTGATCAGATGTGATGCTTTTATCACAGCTCAGATGCAGAGTTCTGCTCTGAGCGTTGCTACTAACAGAGAGAGTAATGGCTCAAAGGATGCAAAGAGCTTTACATCACTGTCGTTGCTATGCAACCATCCTATTATTACAAGCAAGCTAACCTGAAGTAACACAGGTGATAATGTTTCTGAAAATCAAAATGGACAAGAAGAGAAGTTGAGATGCATTCAGGGCCTCACCCAGAAATGCTGCACAAAGTAAGAGAGGTTCAACATCTTTGTTAAAACAATAGTCTTATCAATTGGGTATTATATTATCTGATGTTACAGTCTATTTAGGACATAATTCCCCTTTCATGTTACAATCCCTCAACTGTGTCTGGATAAACACAAAGTTTTACTAAAAACTCCATCAGATACCAACTTGATCTGTTTTACTCAGACTGCTGAAACCTCATGTTAACTTCCGCTGAACTCTGGAAAGCATTTTTACACAGAATGAGGATTTTGTTCCTCATTAAGGAAATTGCTTGAGGAACATATGAGTCCAGGGCCAGCAGAAAAGAGACCAGCAACTCTTTCAATTGTACATACGGTCATTTGAAAAAAACGTGAACCTATCCTTTAAGATGTTTAATTGGATTTGATCCAATCTTAACTTAATTCAAAATAACTGTGACTTGGACCCTGATTCAGATCTGAATCGGAACATTTTGGAATCAAAGCCGAACATTAAAGGTCTGTCTGCTCACCCATCTCGGGATGGTGCCTTCCCTCAACAGGAACGCTGACTGTCCGCCGCAGTAGCTTGTTCCTGTGAGACTCTGAGCGCCTCTCGCGCATCAGCAAAGGGTGTACCTGCACAGAGAGAGCACAAGGTCAGTACACAAACACACACTCCTGAAACACTGCATCCTGAAGTTGTGTGCACTCTTTGTCCTTCTCTTTGTCGCGCTCGAGGAACCACTGTGCTCACATTGGGCTTGATAAATAACTCTAGAAAACAGATGTGGCTAAACTGATCTTAGCATTTTATGGCAAGAAAACAGCTTTTACTTATTATTATTATTATCATCTTTAGAATAGACTGAAATCATTTAAAAAATAAAACATAGACAAACAAATCCAAAGTCATGAACGAATCGATCAACTCGCAGCTACCACCGCAAACCAAGTAGCAGAAAACTCATCACAATTAATTCAAGTTATATAATGAAGGTTCAGATGGGGCCAGATGTAACCTACAGGCAGTTACCACTTACATCATATTCTTTAGAGACTTTAAAGCACATCATTCTACAAAAGTGAAAGTAAGAATGGTTTATCTGTTAAAAGACAAAGCTAGAATTCAAAAAAACCTATGATCCTCCACAGCAGTTCATTGTATCTGATGTAGACGAACTGAAAACTGGAAGAAAAAAAGAAAAGAAATATATATATATATATATATATATTTATATATAGAAAAAGTAAACCACATTTCACAGCTCTACCACACAGTCCCTGAATTCATAAAAGTGAGACTTGAGGGAAAATAAATGGGAGAATGTGCCACACTAATCAGAAACACTGGTCCTTTTGAAACATCACAGTTACACTCAGACAATACAGCGTATACTGTGAAGTACAGACCTATAAATCTTGACTCAACACCAAAGCCGGCACTTTGTTGGCACTGGGCCCCAGTACGCCAAGAAATACACAAAGAAATAAAAAAGTCACTGCAGAAATACATTTGAATTTTCGATTCAAAATAACTTACTGTGATGCATAGCTCGTCTGTACAATTTCCACAGATTCCTACATATTTACAGCTGCGCCAAGATTTGTGTATAAAACAATGGATCAAATGTGATAAACCCACTGAGAATTATCACCCAACTGCAGTTCTGCTCAGCTCTACTGGAGATTGTTTGGCTCTTTTTGCTCCTTATTGGTTGTATGGCCTGCAAGCTTCGCTCTTATCAACCCAGTTTGCAGCAAATAAGCTCAGATAAACCCACCGGTAGCACAGACAGTCCCTAGTTAAAGATCCAGATGTTTGTCAAAGGAGTCGGTGGACACAAAAACAGAGCTAAAAGTGAAGTGAATATTGGAAATGATGGACAGAACATGACTTAAAATGCATGCAGATGTTGCTCCGTGTCGGCTGGGTGTGTAAATAGTTATATGTTAACACGTGTACAACCTATATTAATACACTCTCCGGCCACCATCATCTAATACAATTCAGAACCATAGCTCTGCCATATTTTACCTTGTCAAAGTTTACATTTGTAATAGTAATAGTAAACATATTGTTTAATCATTTCTTAGACAGTGTCAATCAAAAGTCAACATTATTATATTTGTAGAGGCAGGATTTATGGGTGAGCCACTTTATTGGATTGCATTTTATTTTACAGGTGTAACTAATGAAGTGACCATTGATTATGTAATGGTGTTTCTGAGCTGGTTGTAGTGTCCCTCTGCACCAAACTGGCCGAGAAAATTAATTACTGCAGCTTTAAAAAAAACAAAAAAAACAAAAAAAAAAGGTCAAATAATGAATTTAAAGTGATCATTTCAAACAGACCTACAGTAGTTACAGTTGTTTGAAAGTGAACTGCAGGCACTGTCCTCTATGTATCCTTACTGACACAAAGTCAAGAAGCCAAGGGGAATGATCGCAGCCTTGTTTGTTGTTCTGTTACAATACTGTTGTGCCTTTTCAGTGTGTCCTATTGAGACTAGCGTCTGACAGGAATGCAACGTTGGGACATAAAAGATGTGGTGTGAACACAGAGAGCCAGTGTCAGAAGGTGGTACTAACTGCAGAGAGCACTACAGGATAGTGCAGCCTGGGGGGGTTTGGGGCAAAGCCAACAACAGTGAAGGACACTGGCAGGTCACACTGAGCCATATGTCCCATAAGACAGCCGAGTGCCACTCACTCTGAAGGAACTCTGTTAAGATGAAAGAATGTCAGCGTGTGTGTGTGTGTGTGTGTGTGTGTGTGTGTGTGTGTGTGTGTGTGTGTGTGTGAGTGAGTGTGTGTGTTTTTTGTGTGGTTGTTGCCTGGATCTGTGAGTCCGTACAAAAACTACTATGTGGTATGTGCATGTGTGTGTCCATCTAAGTGAGGGCACATAAAAATTTAATGCAGACACTGCTTCACTTCAAGCTACTAATATTCTCCAGTACGACACTACAGCTGTATCACATCAGGCACATGAAGACAGACACACACACACACATAGAGATGCATAGAGATGCATAGAGATGCATAGAGATGTGCATCTCTACTGCAATAATCTAGTTAGACCAGCCAAGCAGAAGATGCTTCACATCACAGCATTAGATCCTGTGTATATGAGTATCTTCATCCAACTTAATCAGGGACAAGCATCATAAATCAACAGCCTATGTGATTACTGCTCTACTTTGCTGCTTGTGCAACCAAAGTGCACAAAGCTACCTTGCTGTGCTTTCTTGGGACCAACATATTGCTTGTTGAGGAGAAATTACTGTACAATCTCCTTTGATAAAAATATATATTAAGCAGCATCCATTTTTTATGAGTCCAGTGTGAGAATACGCAGAGCACACACAGTATGTTCATTAACCGAGTTCCCCTTTTGCTGGAGCAGCTACTCAGTGAGAAGCTTTTCTGTCTTGCTGGCAGTCGATCACTCTGTCAGTGTTGGTCCAACATTTTGGTTGCAGGTGAAATATCATGATAATTACTGGATGGCTTGCCATGAAATTTATCTTCAAACGTTCAACTTTGCCGATCCTCTAACCTTTCATCCAGCAGCTCAGAATTTCCACTGGGTTCATGAAAGGACTCATAAATCTATGTGTTTGCAAGATATCATAGCACGCTGTGACAATTCTCACCATCCAATTACCTTCTTCACAGCTGACATGTTGATGTGTCATAACAGGAAAAGCACAAGTGTATTTAATAACATTAATAATGGCTGCATTGCTGTTATTCTGCACGCTGGCTCCCTGAAATGACCTACACTTAATGGAAATGAGCTGTTGTTAATGCCACAGAGGGCTGCGACTACATGCGTAAAGTTACTGTACAGGTTTCAGCTTTAAAGGCACAACGACCCAAACCTTAAAAAAAACAAAAAAAAACTGCATGTTGTCGAACAAAATAACATGTTGGCACGGCAATATGGAAATACTGTGCACAATAAAAACTGTTGAACAAAACAGTGATACAGAAAATCTATTGAGAAATGGTCTACAGGAATATCTGTTCTGGCTAATCCAGCAAATATAAGACCTGACAAATACAGGTTTAATGTTAAATAATAAAAACATTCATTTGCAACATTGCTTACAATGTCTTAATAAACCCTGTGATATAAAAGTGATAGCTACCATGGTATAAACATTATTAGACCTAAATTCAGGCGTCTTTGTGCATCCTACTTCAATTTAAATCCAAGTGTTGTCAGTGAACGCAGTTTTTTTCTAACTCTCTTTTATTCTCGCTGCCAGATTAATGCAGGAAACGGCAGCGGAGAGTGGCCGAGCACTCTGTTCGACTAATTGAATATGCTTTAAGTGCCAATGAGTAACAGTAAACCTGATTTAACCTCCCATTCTTCCAGCTCTTCATTGATCAGCAGCACAAATAAAGTCACAGCTGCATACTGTAGCTTTATTGCGACATTGTTGCTTTATGGTGTTTCTAAATATACATAATAAGCAAAGTCGTTTCATAATGCCTGACAGAGCGACGCACCAGCTCTGACTCCATTAAAGAGGCATCGGGAGGGGAGTACGGAGGAGTAGCAGGTAATATCACTGAATGGTTTTGCAGTTATTGAAGGGATAGTAGTGATTTTCTGCAGGGTTAAAGCGTTGCTTCTCTCTGTCCAGATTTTCAGCTGTTGCCATGGAATCCAGAGGAGACAAATGGGCTGCGTTTACTTTTATCTACAGTATGAGTTGAGTGAGAAGGTTACAAAATACGTGTTCGGTAAGCTGAAGCATAGGTTTGTGTCTTTTCCACACGGATCAACCAACAGATAAACTCTTCTTTTTGTGTGTGGGAGGGTCCAAACGTGCATTTCACAACACGAAAAAGCGCACGAATTCTGCAGCTAAAATCATCTGAACATCCACGACTCTTAAAAAGTTCAATTCTTGAGTAGCCATCTTGATGCCAACACTACCCAATTACAAGGCTTTAAATATGGTAATTTTCCGCAATCACATCCACTTGAACAAGAACAAGCCCACTCATTCTCTCCCCTACTGCTGCCCTGCCCAGTGCAATTCATCACTGACAACTTGACTCATGGAAAAGACCGAGAATACCTTTCTTCCCCATCCTGACACATCAGTTTACAAATAAGCTTCCCACCACTGCTTCCAGTTGGGAGGGGGGGGGAGACACACACCTGGAGGCTATTTTTACTCTGCGTGTGGCAGTATGTGATTGGTCAGATGTCGCGGGGTCTGCAGCTGGAGACGTGACACAACAGCTCGGGGGTTGCCATGAGTGGGCACAGGAAGCTGGCAGGCCCGCACTCAGCATCACTCAGAGAGGCAGCATTAGGCCAGCTCGCTTCAGATGGTGCACTCACACCTCACACACAAACCTAAAGGAACAATTTGAGTTAGAGCACATTGTAAACTGCTGAAAAAAAACACTGCTGTCAAAAAACCTGGTATGGTGCCACCTAGAAGTCAGAGTGTCCATTAAAGCCCAATAGACAGACCGAGACACACACTAACTTGAGACAGAACTTTTCCTTTCACTCCTGCCTGCCTTCTCACCTTTGCACACCAGGCCATTTTCCGCATGAAGTGGGTGAAAGGAAATGATCAAATAAAGGTTTTGGAAGGTGTTT